CTGGTCACGTGAAGAAAATTTGAAAAAACAACTGTGAAGACAACCTACCCTACTAGACACTCAAACTTTTACAACGCTATTGTATTCAAACTGACCCAGTGCAAGCACAACAGCCATTCAGGTGAACGAAACAGAAAGTTCAAACACAGGCCCAAATGGAGATGGAAAACAGAAACATAAAACAAGACATTAAGTCAGTAAAGGTTTGTTCAATAGTTATGCTGGAACAGATGACTACCGGCTTTGAAGATACTAATCAAATCCCTATGCTTCCATTCACACAGGAAAAGGAATTCTTATAAATACCAAAAATAAAAAATAGATTTGACTCATAAACATGACTGAGTGTTCGTGCCTCTGTGTGACATGTGCCACCCTCAAATCTTGTTACGACGTGGGCACATTATCCTTCTGACATAAAAAAAAATAATAATAATAATAATAAATACAGCATGGTAATGGACTTATGGCAGACACTTCTCTGGGGACCTCTAATGGTGCACCTGTGCCAGAGTGAACTCCAGCCTCTAACCATTGTCCAGCTATCTTACCTGTGTGCTGTGAGCACTGAAGAAGGTTGCACAATTTGACAACAAAAAATAAAATTTTAATATAAGAAAATACAGGAAAAAAGAGCTTCATATTGGGATAAAGGAGGCTAAGGCCTTCTAAACCAATACAGAGAAGTCATAAAACAAAAAAAAAATTTAGCCAGGCATAGGGAAGCACACCTGCTATCCCAGCACTCAGGAGGCTGAGGAAGGAGGATTGTAAGTTCAAAGTCAGCCTGGGCTACATGCAAGATCCTGTCTCAAAAAAAGAAAACATTATGACCATATAAATTCAATTCAATTTTATTGCGAAGTCTTTGCCAGTTAAGCAGCAAACCCCAAGTAATTCTCACTGACTACAGAGTACAGCTGCTAACAGTAGGGGTCAGAGCCTACACTAGGTGGTCTGACTCTTAGTAAGTTGCTTCGTCTTCCTGAACTTCCATTTCTTCTGCTGAGAAATGGAGGTAATTCTCTCCCCAGGCACAGGGGTCTGCTGTTATCACTCCCTCTAGAAAGTACACACTGATAAAGAATAGATACAGAAACCAGCCCCCACCCACACTAAAAAAATGTGGGTCAATAAATGGTCAATAAATATAACAAAACATATCCAAAGCTCTAAGTGTGCATGTATAAGCATTACAGAGCTTAAAGCAGGTGCATGTGTGTGCACCTGTATAATAACAAAAGCGGCAAGACTCCTAAATGTTCAACAGAGAGAGGCCCAAACAGATTACGGTACACCAATGCTATATAGATAAGGACTGAGGGCTGGTGGAGTGGCTCAAGTGGTAACAGTGCCTGCCTAGAGACTAAGAGTTCACAAGAAGGAATGTCCATCAATACAGGAAAGTGGTAAGCAACCTACACAAGTGCATACAAGATGATCTTAGTTTTAAAATTAAATATTCTCAAGTGACCAAGCACTTATTAAATTAATTTGTATAATAAAACAGGGTACAAAGCAAATGGTTAATACTGTACCATTAATTTGAAGGACTGGGAAGGAGAGGCAGAGGCTATCAGTTTTACTTTAGACACATTTATTGTTCAAATGTTTATAAGAATGTTTGCCTTCCTGGGGACAGGTGGCTCACATGTGTAATCCTAGCTACTTGGGAAGCTGAGATCCGAAGGATCACAGTTTGAAGCCAGTCCAGGTAAATAGTTCAGGAGACCCCCAACTCCAAAATAACCAGAGCAAAATGAACTAGAGGTGTGACTCAAGCCATACAGCACCTATTCTGCAAGTGCAAAGCCCTGAGTGAAACCCCAGTCCTACCAAAATACATAATTATATATTTACATATATGTATTAAAATATACATTTTTTGTCTTTAATTTGAATTGACTCTTAAATCTTTAAGTTAACTGACTTTTTTAGAGCAGTTTTAGGCTTACAGAAAAACTGAGTGGTAAGTACAGTACCTGTGCATCCCTGCCTCCTCTCTCTGCATTTCTCCTACTTATGTTTATTATAACTAATGAACAGTGAACCACCATTAACAAAATTTCATAGTTTACATTACTCTTGGTGTTGTGTATTTTCTAGGTTTTGACATACATAGTGTCATGTTACAGTATCATAGAGAACAGTCTCACTGCCCTCATGATCCGCTACCCTCCACCTGTTCACCCCCACCTAACTCCAGGCAACCCCTGATGTTTTCACTGGATCTATATGCTTACCACACAATCCAGCAATCACACTTCTTAGTATTTACCTAAATGAGTTGAAAACTTAGATCCAAAAAAGCCCTGCACGCAAATGTTGAAAGCAACTTTATTTATAATTGCCAAATGTGGAAGCACCCACACGTCCTTTAACAGTAAATGAACTGACACATCCGCACCATGGAGTATTACTCAGCATTAAAAAGACAGCAGCCACAAAAAGACACAGAAGAACCTTAACTGCATACTGCTAAATGGAACAAGCCAATTCAAAAAGGTTACACACTATGATTCCAGCTGTCTTAGTCATCTGTGCTGCTTATAACAAAATGCCTGAGATTGGGTAATTTGTAAAGAGCAGAAAGTATTTCCTCACATTTCTGGAGCTAAGAAATCCAAAATCAAGGTACTGGTAGGTTCAATTGTCTGGCGAAATCTCCTTTATGCATCATCAAAAGGAGGTGGAGTGGTTTGTCCTTACACGGCAAGGTGGAAAGGGGGAGAGAAGCCAACTCTCTCTATCAAGACCTTTTATAAGGACACCTAAATCCCACACATGAGGGCAGAGCCCACATGATCACCACCCCAAGGGTACACTCCCAATTTGTGGCACTGGGGATTAAGTTTCAACACAAATCTTGGAGGGCATGAAAACATTCAGGCCATAGCATATGACTAAATGTTTTTTAAAAAGAAAATAAGGTTGAAGCCAGGCATAGTGACTCATGCCTATAATCCCAGCTACAGGGGAGGCAGAGACAGGAGGATCATGGTTTGAGGCCAGTCCAAGTAAAAAATTATTGAGACCCATCTCAATCAGTAAAAAGCTAGGTATGGTGGTGCATTCCTGTGGTACCAGCTGCTGAGGCATAGGAAGGAGAATTGTAGCATAAGGCCAATCTTACCTGAAAAATAACTAAAGCTTTTGCTGGGAGTGTGGCTCAAGTGGCAAGAATACCTGCCTAGCAAGTGCAAGGAAGACCCTGAGTTCAAACCCCAGGGCCACCAAAAAAAAAAAAAAAAAAAAAAACCACAAAACAAAAGGTTGAGGATTTGCCCATGAAAGGTATTGTGGTTGAGAAGCCAGAAGAACAGCATGAACAACCTCTGGTTCCCAGATATCCCAGACTGGACAGAGTCCAGCACATATGGCCTGCAGCCAAATCTAGTCCATTGCCTATTGTTGGATTATTTGGCTTAAAAAAATTCAAAAGAATATTTCATGACATCTGAAAATAATGTGGAATTCATATTTCAGTGTTCATAAATACAGATTTTATTAGACTACAGCTACTCTCATTTGTTTATGTATTGTCTATGATGCTTTAGTGCTACAACCACAGAGTTAGTAGTTATGACAGACTGTGGCCTATGAAACCTAAAATAGTTACTGACTAGCTCTTGAAAGAAAAACTGTGCTGGCCTCTGGCCCAAAGAACTGTGTTCAATCTATTTGAAGGTCTGCTAAAATCTTTTTGTTCTGCCAACTATGAATGGCCCCAGCCCTCAGGTCTTGCTACCCAAGGGTCCCTGAGCCCAAGCCTACCTGTAGCCACATGTCCACAACCCGCAGGCAGGTCTCTTTCCCACAAGGAATCAAGGTTAAGCCAGGACCTGGGCTCAGCAAGGTCTCCTGATGCACTGATTAGTCCTGGTCTGTGGTCCCTCTTCTCACCGGCCATGGCTCTCTTGTGTACTAAGTTCACTTGGAAGGAAATTGTCACTTCCAGCAAACCTGAGGGATGAGCACCCACTTATCAAGAGATTACATATAAAGTAAGGCACTAGGCCTGGGGATGTAGCTCAGAAGAGGGGGACTTGCCTAACACGTGCAAAGCCCTGGGTTTAGTCCCCCACACCACAAAAAATAAAAATAAAAATTTTTAGCCACTAAAGGTGCCTAAAAATGCAAAGTGATGTACAGATTCCAGGAAAATGCCCATTAAAGGAGATTTGGTTCCAACTGTGTGTGGTCCCAGGCCCACAGCTCATCAGTTTATACTTCTGTAAAGTTAGGATGATAATAATGAATGTCTTGCTTGGCTGCTGCAATGAGAAAACTGATATGAAAACAAAACTTTTTAATTATAAGCACTAATGAAATTTAAAATGCTTATCATACAGTTGATGGACTTCATATTCTTATATGAACCAGAACAAAGAAACCTCTTACAATAGCTTTAAGTGGGGCAGGGAGAGGGTAGAGGGGGAGAAAAGGTGAAGGTAATCTAACCAATGTACAATATAAGCTTATTTATAATTGTCACAAGAATCCCCCCATACAACAAATACATTGATAAAATTTTTAAATGTTTATCAATTGTCCAGGTCTGCACATGGCAATGACTAAAAGGTCTAATAGTCTTGGCAAAATTGCCAGTGGGCCAGCACCATGTGGAAGAGCACATGACTGAGTGGTTCAAGATCAAAATCCAATAATGCTGGCAACAACAGTGTGAGAACAGGCACAGCAGCTAAGATGCCCAGCACACAGCAGGAGGCTGAGAATGTGTCACATGAGACTGGTCATGCTCAAGCTTCAAACGTGAGTACAACCCCTCACTTGTTACCAATGTAACCTGGCACAGTGACTTGAGCCTCCTGTGGCCTCAGCGTTCTCATCTGCAAAATGGGGCTGCCACTTCCTACCTCAGAAGTTTTCCAAAATTAATAAATAAGATTATACAAGACAATGGGCATGGCTAAGACTAAGAACACAGTAAGGATCCAAGCAATTTCATCCTTGCTTTCCTCTCCCAGGGGCCAGCTCACCTCACGCAAATCCCAGGCACGCACAGTACAGTCAGTGGACACGGTGCAAACCACAGACTTCTCCCTTCCATCAAACCGGTACTCATTGGTTGAGATGTAAGCCAGCTGATCTATCTGTCCTGTAACAGAACACAGACAGAAAGGGCCTGGGATGTGGACACTCTGCTTGGTGAAAAGGGTTGGCAGGAAAACCATTAATTACTCTTTTTCTGTCTCAAGAACACAGTATGTGCTTACTCAGGACACAACAAAGACAAGAGCTAGGCCTTCAGAGTTAGTTACAACTGGGTTCTACTCTCAGGACCGTCACCCACACACCATGAGACCTTAAACTACTCCCCACTTTCTTGGTTTCTGTTTCTGTCTACTGTGAACTAACAGGGTTGTTGTGAGGATCAAATGTATAACACAAGTGATATAGAAACCAGCAAGATACTTACTCATCAAGTAGCACTTTCCAAGTCATTGGCTGAAATGTTAAATTCCGTGAGACCTGACCAGGGAATGGGTTGGGGTGAGGCACAGCTACCACACTCCCCACCTCATACCTGTATGCCCATCAATAGCTTTGCAGGTGAAGTCTTCTGGGCGCCCAGATTCCACTCGGAACTCCAGCTCAGACCGGCAGAGATAGTACTGCTTCCACGTCTGTGTGCTCAAAACCATCTGGGAGGCTTTGCAGGAGGACCAGCGTCTCAGACACAACTGCCTGAAGAACAAACCCACAAACCCAGACAGGACACAGCAGTCACAGATTTTGGAGCCAAAAGATCTAGTTTTGCATCCTGGCTTTTCCATTTGCTGGCTTAGAAACCTTGTGTAACTCATTTGTCTACCTAGGCTTCAACTTCCTCTCCTGTAAATGAGGACAGTAACATTGAATGAGTGCTATGTGTCAGGCATGAAGTGCTCTTTCGTACATCCAAAGAACCTTCACAGTAACCCTGAGAAGTAGAGTATCATCACTACTGTACACTTGAGGGTACACAGGTTAAACAACTGGGATTCACAAGCCTACTTTCTGTGAAGTCTCCAATTCTTGTTGCTGATCTATTTCTCTCTCAACTTGGTCACCTCTTCATGTATTTGTTGCTGTGCTGCAAAAGGCACATGTCACTGACATATCTTATTAGACTAACCCATTTATCATTATACAACACCTTTGTCTGTATGACATTGTTTTGTCTCAAAGTACATTTTGTCTGATATTGGTATAGCAATTCAGCTGTCTTTTGGTTATTATTTGCATGGTATATCTTTTTCTATTCTTTTACTGTCAATCTGTCTTTGAATCTAAATGTGTCTCAGGGCTGGGGATGTAACTCAGTGGTAAGTTCTTACCTAGCATGCATGAGACCCTCAGTTTGATCCCCAGTACCACAAACAAACAAAATAAAGTATGTCTCATGCAGAAAGCACTTTTCATTGCCCACTGTCAATCTTTGCCTCTTCTTTTTGGCAGTTCTGGGGATAGAATTCACGGCAAGACAGTCACTCCATCACTTGAGCCATGTCCCCATCCCAGTCTTTGCCTTTTTATTAGACTATATAATTCATGTGTGTTCAATGTAGTTACTGGCAAGAGCAGATATACATATCATTTTGCTATTTATTTACTAGGACTTAAGCATCTTTCCCCTCTATTCCCTCATTACTGCCTTCTTGTGTTAAATATTTTCTAGTGTACTATTTTAATTCCTTTGTCATTTCTTCTACCTTTTTTTTTCTGGCAGCACTAGGGTTTTTTGTTGTTTGTTTTAGAACAATAAACACATAAGCTTTATTGCATGAGCTAAGCATAGTGGACAACTTATTTGCCTTTCCCAACGTTGCTCTTCCTCAGATAGAATTCCCAGCTCCTTGCTCTCTGTACATAGCCATCTACTCTGCCACAATGGTCTGGTCTGGATGAAATATAGGCAAGAAGTTTGCCCTGCTGGAACTACTCCTCCAGAAGACTGCTGATATTGGCACTCTTTTTCCTTCCTTCGTTATTTCTTTTGAATTTTCCTTGATCATTCTTTTAAAACCTCTTCCTCCTCAGGGGTCAGCTTGGCCCCTTTCTTGTGGCCAGAGGCAGTGCACAGAGGGACTCGAACCATGGTCGGTATGGTGTGCTGTCCATGAGCACAGTGCAGTTCTTCACCAGGGTCTTTGTGCAGACCAGCTCGTTATTGGATGCACTACAGACAACATCAATGATCCTTGTTTTGTGAGTGCAACACTGAGAGCTCCAGGATAAGTTCCCCATATTCAGCCTCAGTGCACAGTACTTCTTGTTGCCTCCTCGAACTCAGACTATGTATACGTCAAGGGCCAATCTTAGCGTTGGCAGCAGAGTGTCCTAGCTCATATTTCTGCTTCTTGTGACAGGGCTTTCTCTTGCCCCCAGTCTCGTGGTGCTTGTGCCACTTGTCCCAAGAGATGCTCATCGCTTGGTGCTGGCTGGAAAGAGCAGCACTAGGGTTTGAACTCAGGGCTCACACTTGCTAGGCAGGTGTTCTTGCTGCATGAGCCACTCCACCAGTCAATTTTTTTCGAGATAAGGTCTCTCGAACTATTTGCCTGGGACTAGCTTCAAACCACAATCCTCCTGATCTCTGCCTCCTGAGTAGCTAGTTTTACAGGCATGAACTACCCTGGCTCTTCTACCGTACTGTTGTTCCACCATGCTTATAATGGTTGCCTTAGAGATTACAATTTAAATCTTAATTTACAACAATCCAGTTTTACTACAACCTTTAATTTCAGTAGTATATAAAACATCTCCTACATGAGTCTATTTCCTCCCTCCTTTGTGTTGTTCTTGTCAAAAATTACATCTTTATACATTGTATGCCATGAAAAGAGATTTATAAACTGGGTATGGTGTACATACCTTGTAATCCCAGAACTCAGGAAGGAGTAGGAGCATGAGTTTAAGGCAGTCTGAGCTACATAGTAAAACCTCCCTCAAAAATCCCAAAAACAAAATAAAAATCCCAAGACTATTTTTCTAATTAATATTAGCAATAAAAAAAACCCAACAAATAGAAAAGTGTTTTATAATACTAAAAACTAAGTAAGATTGGCCTTAATAAATTCCCAAATATCTCAAGGTTTAATGATCCTAAAAATGAAACAAAAATTCCCTCCATGTTCTGAAGAACCATCATGCATGAACAGTGTTTTTCATTATGAGTGACTAAAATTAAGTAAACTCCTAGTTGAAAGTCAAGGCTGTACTGTATTCTGCAAGAGGTAAGAAATCTGATAGTTCTTTTTTCTTTTTCCAGCTTCTGATAGTTATATTTTCGCACAAAAGAAGTTAGGTTCCAAAGAAGAAATGGAATAGAAAGAAAAGTTTAGACATTTAATAATTAAAATGTTTTCAATTTTTACCTTCATGCATACTTCATGCATACTTATATTGCTGTGTCATTAAACCAAAGCTGAATTAAAAGTAATCTGAAGCCAGGTACTGGTGGCTCATGCCGGTAATCCTAGCTACTCAGGAGAAGAGATCAGGAGGATCCTGGTTCGAAGGCAGCCCAGGCAAATAGTTTGAGAGACCCTATCTCAGAAAAACCCATCACAAAAAAAGAGCTGGTAGAGTGATGCAAGATGTAGGGCCTGAGTTCAAACCCCAGTACCAGAAAAAAAAAAAAAACCAAAACAGTAATTTGTGCAATTACTGAGATGTGATTACATGCCTGTAATCTCAGCACTCTAGGAGGCTAAAGCAGAATTGTGAGTTTGAAGCCAACCTGGACTATACAGCAAGTTTAAGGCCATCCTGAACACAGTGAGATCCTGTCTCAAAAAAAAAGCTATAGTCATATTTCTGATTTGTCTTCTGCCAGCCACCTGTATTCTTTTACTATATATTTCTGGCCCTGAGTTGGTAAGCATACTTTATATCAATCCTCCATTCTATTCTATATCCCTAAGCAAAGAAAAGTATTCTGGTGGTGAGGTCCTAGAATAATTCTTTCTACACACTCAACAGAGCCAGAAATGCAGACAATGCCCAGAATGCTTACTCAGCACCTCCATCTCTCCTGTGCAGGATCAGCTTTGGCTCTTCACTCACCTCCACAGTTCCTTGGTCCTTGAAACCTCATTCCACACCTATAAAAGGAAGGAAAGAAGTGAGTCAGTCGATAGCACCTCACTTGCCAACCTGTGGAAGGGACAAAGAGCTAAAGCAGACCCTGTCTCTGCATTCCAGAAAATGCACTCTGTCGAATCGGAGATTTATTTGGACATAAAAACAATGAGAGTAAGGAGGGACTCGAGGTGGTGGTGGGTAGGGAGCCACAGGCTAGAGTAGTAACTATGTATCAAGTTTCAAAGGGTGAGTAGCTGTTCTCTAAGAGAACCACCAAAGCATTGCAGGGAGAAACAGAACAGCTGTCCAAACATGATTCAAGTGTGGAAAAGATGGGTGAGTAATTTACCTTAATTAGAACATGAGGTTCTGGTGGGGATGAAATGGAAAAAGGAGCTGGCATTTGGCTGAGACCAGCTTCCTGAAGTCTTCATGGAAAAAAAAAATGAGAAACTACTTGAGAACTTTGAACAGGGGAGTAAAGGGTCAAACCATGTTAGGAAGATGGCTCTGGCTGCTATGGGCAGGAAGGACTGGAAAGGAGATCAGAGGAGACTTTAGATGAGGGTTGCATCAATGGAGTAAATTAAGGCACTGACCAAGGAAATGTCCCAGAGATGCCAAAGTGGTAAAAATGGGAACAGACTACAGGCAAGGATACTATGCGGGCCCTGCTCTTACAAACTTCTTTCTGCAGAAGTACCTTCCCTCTGCAAGTCAGGTCCCCACGTGGAATGGGGGTCAGGGTACCACACCTATCTCAGGTCCAGGCCTGCTTCCTGACCTCTCTAGCTTGCCACCCTGGATTCTGGAGCCCAAATGACTTCCATCTTTTGGCTAGTAGTAATGTAAAGTTTTTATTTTGCAAAATTAAACAAAACAAAGATCTGCGCATTTCCTTTTCTATAGTTTCTAGTTCAAACCCCAACTGAAATCTTATTTTCCCAATGGAGAATTATAATATGTAATATGCCCTACAAAATAAATGCCATCCACCTTTGAGGATCCATCTATTAGATTCCAGCCTTCACAATGACATCACGAGGTAGAGATTACTGACTTAATTTTACCTATGGTAAACTAAGACAATGAAATGTTGGTGCTACCAAAGGGTGGAAGGCACCTCTTTTCAAACTCTGCCCCTAAGTTTTCCCATAGACTACTTCTGTGAAAACTGCCCAGTGTGTGACAATGTGGGTCACCTTAGACAAACCACTGTGTAATACTGTTTCCTTATCAGTAAAAGTGGAGGTGATAACCCAATGTTTTACTAGATATATTTAAAATTACAATTATGGCCTTGGAGTCCTAAGGCATACAATGAACATCTAGCACCTACCATTGGCAGAGAAACACAGAGGAGAGGTAAGAGCCTCTGCCACTCCTTCCCCAGCTGGGGCCTTGCACTGGTAATTGGAAGAACCTTGACTTGGCAAATTTAAAAACAGAACACAAGTGTTGGGGCTGGTGGAGTGGCTCAAGTGGTAGAGTGCCTGCCTAGGAAATGAAAGCCCTTAAGTTCAAACCCAGTAACAACAACAACAACAAAAGAACACAAGTGTGGGATAGTCCCACAGGTGCCTCCCCAGCTCTGCCAGTCCCTTCATGGCTGCACACCCAGATCAGACCCTCCTCCTGCCATTTATGGTAGGGTAGGCTGGGACTAGTGGAGAGGGGAGTCACATCCAGCAGCACATGTTCCTGGTTCCAGAATACCAGATGCCTCAAAGACTAAATGTGGCCTTATGTCTGTAAAATTGTTTGTAACCCATGTTCAGGGAAGGAGCCATTTACTTGTTAAATTTGTGTCTCCCACAGCACAGCTGTTTAACATCAGTTTTCAAGGAAAAACACCATTCTTGGTTTACAACTCAATCAGTTCAATCAGGAGGTCTTCTCCACTTTTCCACCTCTATGGACCCTCTATTTCCGCTCTTCCACTACCTTATACAGGCTGATAAAGAGGGAAAGTTTCGGCCCCTAGATCAAGTTATAGTGTATGAGGTATTTCCAAATTTATCTTGTTCCTGAAACTTCCAAACCTTGACAAGTTACTTTACCATGTAACAGAGAAAAAAGAAATAGACAACAAAAAATATCACAAGTATAGCAAAGAGAAGACATTAAAGTGGCTGGAGGGAAAAAACGTTGATCCAGCTATGGCAGCATTACAGTCAGGTGCGTTTTCTCTGATCACCAGGTTTCTAGTGACAAGGAAGAGGATTATGTTTGCTATGGTCTGATATCTGATTACATGCCAAAAGTATTAAGTAATGACCTACTGAAATATTTGAAGTCTCTAGAATATTCAGCTTCATTGTCAAACCCTCTATCCAAGAAACTAAAGTTACCAGATGAGTTTGTATGAGCAACAGCTTACACTAAGTTTAAAGATTTGAAGACTGAAAAGAAAAATAGCAAAATGCAGCCCAGAAGTCTTTGGCTAAAGTTAACAAGAGTGGGATGAACAGTATTAATGCCTTTTTTTGTGCAAATAAACAAACGTGTTTTTAATTTGAAGATTGAAACTAAAAATAAAAAGTCTAATAAAGCAAAAAAAAATGTTGGCATTTCAAATCAGGATGCTTGTGAACCCTTTAGTTAAATGATATATTTTAAGTTCCTTTAAGAAATTCATTTACTCAGCAAGCGTTTATTGAGGGGACACTAATGTCAGGGCATACACTAGGTGCTAGAGACAGTGATGAAAAAGACTCCCTCGCAGGAATGCGTCTAGCAGAGAAAACCAGACATTACACAAATGCATCATACTGAGACCCACTTAACTACAGCTGTGCCGGGCCCCCGAGAGGGGACGCGGGGTGGTAGTGCGTGGAGGGCAGGTGACATCAATTTTCTCAACACGGGTGCCACGGGCGCAGTCATGAAGGAAACGACAGGGGACCAGCGAGGGCCACGGGAGACCACAGGCGAAGGAGCTGCCCTGGGGAGAAGAGGGGCGTGCCGTGCACCGGGAGCGAGTAAAGCACAACCCCGGAGGAAGAAAGTTTCTGGAAGGGTATTTCGGGCAAGCCGGGAACGGGAAGGAAAACGCTCCCCGAGCCAACCTCGGGAGCGCGCGTCCCGCTCTCGCCTCAGCTCAGCGCGCCGTACCTTGTTCACCTGCGCGGCGCGCAGCAGGTCTCGCGCCTCCAGGAAGGAGAAGACGTGCAGCAGCTCGTGCAGCCCCAGCTGCGTCACCATCCCGCCGCCGGACTTCCCGGCCACGCCCGCCGGGCACCGGCCGCCGCCCTCCTCCGCGCCGCCGGCGGCGACCCGACCGCCCCGCTTCCGTCCCCCGCTCACCTAAACCCCACCCACCCCAGCCGCACTTCCGGCCTGCACGCGCTGCGTCGCCCGCCCGTCTGCACTTCCGGGCCGTTAATTAAGTGCTGTGTACCCAGCGGAACTGCTGCCGCGTACTTCAGTTCCAGGTGGCTAGCCCTACTTATTCCCTTTGGAAGGATTCCTCCCCAAATAGTTCTCCCCGCTTCTCAGTGACCATCAACTTATCCCTGCTCCAACTCTTGCCCACCCTTTATACTGCCATTCACTCTAGTACTGACCCTGGCCTCCATTGTCCCTTTCCCTGTCATTGGCCTTCTTCCTAACCCAAGGCCTCATTGTCCCTCTCCCCACCTCACTATCCCACTCCCTACCATTGGACTTCTTCCTGGCTCTGACCCTGACCTCCTATTTCTATCATTGGCTTTTCCCTGTTCCAAACCCTCAACAGACCCTCTTCCTACCATTGATCTTCAACTTGATCCTGGCCCTAGCTCTGACCCTAACTGTCCTCCTTACCATTAGTGTTTTTCCTGGCACTGACCCTCACTGTTCCTCTCCCCTACAACTGACTTTCTCTTTGGCACTGTCCTTTGTCTTGGGGGCATGGCCTTGGCCATAATACTGATCC